TCCTATTGATAAAATATATGGCATACTTTGCAATTTACATCAAGGTGTTTTAAAACATGTTGGCTCTTCAAAATTATGGGATGCTGTAAGTAAAATTTATTTATTTGGGTTTGTTTAAAAAATTCTATTACAATTTATTAAAAAAAAAAAAAAGATTTCTGAGCAATACTGTTATATCCCACAATCATTCGTAAAAGAGTTTGTAAAAAATTGCACAACTTGTGCAACATGAAAAAGTTTCCCAAATCCCATCACAGCAAAGCCTATTATTGCAAATAGTTTTCTTAATCAGGTGCAAGTTGATTTAATTTCAATGACAAGTCTTCTAGATGGTGATTTCAATTATATATATCACATGCGTGATTACTTCACATGATTTTCATGGGCCCGGGTATTAACTAGCAAAAAGCCAGTTGAAGTAGCTACATTTCTTTTTAATGTATTTGTGTGCTTTGGTCCTCCTACTATTCTCCAAACTGACAACAGGCATGAGTTTACGGCAAAAGTAATTCATGAATTATTAAAAATGTGGCCTGAAGTTCATATAATTAATGGATGGCCATGGCATCCACAGAGTCAGAGACTCGTAAAACGCGCGAATAGTATTTTTCAGCAAAAATTATCCAAATGGATGGAGGATACATAGCAAAAGAATTGGGCATGTGCTGTGCCATTATGTTGCTGTAAGTATAAAATAGATATTTAATTTTACATTTACAACTATATATATAATATTTTATATTATATTATACATATAGATGCAATGAATATTCAAACAGCTTGTCAAATTAAAAATAGTCTGTACGCATTAGTGTTTGGGCAAAGCCCATTACAACATTTTGCATTATTAAATGAAATCAAACAACTTAATATCAGTTCTAAGGATGAATTACCTGAAGATTGGTTTGAGCAACCAAGATCTTTAAATGATGATGATAATCACCAAGAAATGGTTGAATCGCTTTTAGGAGCTGCAGCACTAAATTCTAATATAAAAATATTTTGATATTTAATTACTTTATACATATTATTTATTTTATGTTTAAATCATCTTGCTTAATTTAGGAACAAGAAATCGTCAATAATGAGTTAGAAGCACAAGACGATGAGTTGGAAGTACAAGATGAATTAGAAACACAAGGTGATAAATTAGAAGCACAAGGTGATGAATTAGAGGTACAAGACGATGAATTGGAGGCACAAGGCAATGAATTAAAAACACAACAAACTTTAA